TGTTTTGAATTGAGTAATAAATTTCTCTGTGTAAAATAAATGTGGACCAATTCTCAGTGTAGAGCAAAAAACAATCGTCGGAAACGTGAATTTAACAAGCAATCGTGCTATTATAAGGATTTATTGGGTATAAAAAAGGTGCTGTTACTCCTAAACGAACATGGGGACCCCTCATTTTTATCTCAAAATTTAAGTTCCTACAATATAAACAATCAGTAGGCAAAGTTATACAAAAATCTCTGTGCAAGTTCAATAATTTCAGTGGAATGACCTTAAGTAAAGGTCATCTGCAACAAAGTAGTTAAATTTATGTCCACCTCAGAAATTATAATTAAATTATTCACCTAGAGTACCCAAAGAACACAACAGTTAGGTAACATAGAAGTTATTTCATACCGGTGTGTCTTGCATTAGTCTGTAAACGGCCCAGGCTGCCCCAGCAACTACCTGTAAATTAGAAAAATACGTCGTGTTATTCACATCAGTTGTACACTCAGCCTTGACTGTAAATTGCACATCTTGTTTTGACTGACAGGCTGAACTATTAGCAAAACTTCGACTTGCCTTGTTGTTTCTTGACTTCATAAGCGACCATAGTAGTCTTAGTCCTTCAAGCCTGTTGAAAACTCTGGAAACCATGAATAAAGCAATAACTGCAATTGTAAGGCGTCCGTCCAGGGCTTGGATTAAAACAGTGACTTTACCATGCGCCAGGAGTACCCTAGACAGTTAAAATGCTCCTCACACATGATAACTGTTTGCATAAACCCTCCCCTCTCCCCCATTTTATTATGCAACGTTCCATCAACTTTCCAACTACTTACAACTTTCCATTAACTTTCCAACTACTTACGCTCGACAGCTACTATTCACAGCGCATGCTGCAATGGCTCTTGCCGCTGTTCCAGTGAGCTCTTCATTTGGAATATTTAAGATGTCCACAAGTGTCTTACAGCCTTTGCACCGTAATACTTCCAATGGACCTTTAGGATCTTTGGCAATTTCTCCAATGGCTCCAACAATATGGAGTTGAACCTTGGTTGAACATCAAAATCAGAAAATTAAAATCAAAGATCATTTAGTTTCCTTCCATGATCACATCTCAGTCTATTTTTGGGTACTCAACAGTGTTGGCAAAATGCGTTAAAGCCTCGGGGAAAGTTCAACCACGTTTTATAACGGATAAAGCTGTGTGAACAACAGCAGCCATTTCCATATACACTGACTGCACGCATCCAATTCAACTGAATATTTCGCGCGAATGAATCCGCGAAACGTTTTACATTTATTCCTTCATGTCACCTTTGCTAATTATTTATTTCCTCACATCGCAATTTCTATAAATATGCCTTGAGTTATTTTGATTTATTCATTTGACAATGATAACACGAAGTCGTTGCTTTACTTTCGCTAATTTTATTGCTTACATTTTTTTTCGAAATCGCTTTTTGTTGTAACAAACAAATCATATATAGTGGGTCCAAATCGCATTCATCCGGAAGTCCTTTCAATACTAACTTGCTCAGGAAGTTCGTCTCCGCCCTCGTCTCCCTGGAGAAGCCAGATGAGGGTCTCCAAAGCCTTGACTTCCATTAGTCTGGTAAAATATCAACAAAAAGTAAAAACAACAATTAAAGTAAAAATAAACAAATGCTTTAGACATAGGTACTGGAGATGGCTGTGAGTCCGATTCAACACGTACGTGCTATCTGGTTTCTGTTACTTTTATTACTTAAAAAATACTTTCTTGACGTGGGCCTTCAATAACTTCCTTCGACCATGCTTATCACAGTCTAGACCACTGAAGTGCATGCACACTCGCCTTCTAACATTGTATTCGCTGATTGCACATTTCCATATAGCACCGGTCACAGCCGCCAACAGCTTCTTGTTATCTTGGCGGGAAAGAAGTGAGACGAGTGTGTCCAGGCCCCCGCAGTCATATACAGCTTTTCTTGTCTGTTCGTCCACGGCACACTGCCAAGTAATTGGTAAGAAAAAAAAAAATCAGAAATTTTTTAAAGTAAAACCAGTGAGCAGCACGTCTGCGAACTACTTGAGTTATAAAACTTTTTTATTTTCTCCTACGCGTTTCGTGTGACTAGCGCACACTTCTTCAGGGAGTTTAACAATACAATCAAGTATACCTGTATATATACCTGG